TGAAACGTACATGCTAAAGGTGGGAGAGCAGAAAACAAGGTACAAGCCCTGTTCCAGGAAGCAGGAAGAGCAAAAATGGCCTCAGCAGTAAGAGGACATCCTGGTCCTAGAGCCAGGGCTTGGGGCAGCCTGCGGTCCTGGCAGAGAGCTGGTGGAAGGGACCACGGGGACATGATGCCACACACAGAAGTGAGACCAATAAGATCGTGGGAACTACAGGGACAAGCGCTGACATCAAGGAAGTTTGGGAGACAGGGGACAGCTGGGAAGGGACAACCAGGAGAACAGCTGGAAACTGAAAAGAGATGCAAGGGAGAAAGAGGAGGGAGCGCTCAGCTCAGGTGGTGGAGGAGAAGGGGGGACAGGATAGAGAGAGGCAGAAGATGGGACACAAACAGAGGCGGAGAGACTGAGAAACAGGGAGACAGAGATGGATGGAGGCTGGGAGAGACAAAGAGGAGCCAGGCCTGGGCGAGAGAGGTCCTACGTGGGGAGAAAAGGTGGAGAGGAGAGCAGGAAAAAGAGGGGAGCGCAGCCGTCTGGGGGGTTCCGACCGGGCCCAGCCCACCGCTCTGGCAGGCTGGGCCTCTCCCTTTTCTGCCACTCAAGGAGCTCAGAATCCCCTCCCCCAGGGCTGAGGGCGGAGAGCTCGCCTCCAGCCCCGCCCTAGTCCAGAGGCTCCCCCTCCCCAGGCCCTCGGAGGCGGCCCCTTGGGGCTGGCTGTGCAGAGATAGACGGCGGGGGCCCAGCTGGCGCGTTATCAGCCTTCTCCAGGAGCGCGCCTGAGCCACTCCGTGGCTGCCAGTCTGAGATTAGGCCCCCGGAGGGTCATTAAGCGCTGCCCTGGCCCGGGCCCAGCCTCCTTTCCCTCCCCGATCTGGCCAGGCTGGCAGGTGGGAATGAGTGATAAGGATTGGGGGTCTCAGCGGTTCTGAGGCCCGCAGCTCCCTGCTCCCAGCACCCGCCCACCGGCCCCTCCTCGTCAGAGAGGGAACACCGGGTAAGGGTGAGGGGCTGTAAGGTCAGTACCGGCCCAGCCCCTGCAGGAGCCTCCCGGGGTCCTGCTGTCCTAGACCTGTCCATATTGACCAAGACAGAATGAGAAGGGGGCCAAGGAGGCTCTTAGAGAGGCCCCAGACAGCTCCTGGGGAGCTCCGTGAGTCCAGGCAGAAGCAGGCTTCTCCTGGCAAAAGCTCACAGGTGTGAGTGGCTGCGCTCCACTTGCTGCAGGGAGACAGGGATGGTGGCTCTGCCTTCCCACCCTGGCAGGCTCGAACCCACTCCCACCCCCAGGGACAACTGAGGGCAGAATTGGGAGGAAATGTGGCCTCTGCAAGGAGACTCAGATCTGGCAGCCAGAAGCTTCCTTCCAGGAGGTGGGAAAGGAAGAGGGGGCTGTTTGTGCCTTAGCAGAGGCCTGACCCTCTAGGAACTTGCCTCTTCAGTGAGTGGAGAAGCCAGGCTGGCTGGTGGCCTGGCTTTGTCCTCTGGTCTAATCAAGGAAGACTTCCCAGAAGAAGAGAAACCTTGATTGCGTCAAGAAAAAAGAATGGGCAGCGTTTAAACTGGCAGAGGTGGGATGAAAAGGCATAAGTCACGGAAAGTCGGGTAAGCAAAAGCCTAGAGTAGAAATCGCAAGCCACAGTTCATTAAGCTGAATCCCAGAGAGGGGAGGTGACTTGTCTCAGGACACACAGAAAGGCAGGGATAGGCCTGGAGCAAAGACGCTATTTCCCCCATCCCTAGGCCTCTTCCATCTGCTGTAGGCTGCATCCTAAACCCCAGTGAGGTGAGGAGGATAGTTCCCATTTAAGACGAGTCTTCCTCAGTGGTACTTGGTGAAGCCTTGGAACGATGAGTTCGTGTCCTTTGTAGGGACATGGATGAACCTGGAAACCATCATCCTCAGCAAACTGACACAAGAACAGAAAATCAAACACCGCATGTTCTCACTCATAGGCGGGTGTTGAAAAATGGGAACACATGGACACAGGGAGGGGAGCATCACACACTGGGGTCTGCTGGGGGGAAATAGCGGAGGGACAGCGCGGGGTGGGGAGTTGGGGAGAGATAGCATGGGGAGAAATGCCAGATATAGGTGAAGGGGAGGAAGGCAGCAAATCACACTGCCATGTGTGTACCTATGCAACAATCTTGCATGTTCTTCTCATGTACCCCAAAACCTAAAATGCAATAAAAAAATAAAAATAATTTTTAAAAAAGAATGGCCATAGGGAGATCCGTATGCAGTAAGAAGCTGTGGGGCAGCACAGTGAGGTTCCTCTGATGAAATTATGACCAGGTGGGCATGAGTCAGTGCTGAATACAACAAGAGGCCCTTGCCCGCAACATCATGGGAGGACATGAAGAAGGGATTCTTTAAGGGAGCAAGTGAAAACCTACCAAAGCGTAAACAACTTGAAGCCAATAGGCTATCCCTTAAAAATGAGAGACCCTGGCCGGGCTCGGTGGCTCATGTCTGTGATCCCAGCATTTTGGGAGGCTGAGGTGGGTGGATCACAAGGTCAGGAGATTCAGACCAGCCTGGCTAACATGGTGAAACCCCATCTCTACTAAAAATACAAAAAATTAGCTGGGCGTGGTGGTGGGCTCCTATAATCCCAACTACTCTGGAGGCTGAGGCAGGTGAATTGCTTGAACCAGGGAAGCGGAGGTTGCACTGAGCCAAGATAGCGTCACTGCACCCCAAGCAAAACATAAAAAGAACAAAAAGAAAAAGAGTACTTAAATGAAGATATGAAGATGTGAATGGATTCGTGGAATACCTAAGACAGATTCACAGATGGGTCACAATGGGCAAATTATAGCAACAGACAGTGAGGAAGTAAGGAAAGAAATTGCAGTTGCTTTAAAGAAAGACAGTCCACTGGAAGGAAGAAGATTAAAAAGACAAGCAGCAAAGAAAAACGCGATGGTGTGTTTCCTTTGTAGAAAGCCCGGTCCTGGAATTGCAGATTGTCCTGCCACCCGTGACAGTCAAGACATGGACACTGGAATATGTGACAGGTGTGAGTCCACAGAGCACGAAATAACCAAGGGAAAGGCTAAAGCAGACCCGGCTCTTGGCAAATGTCCTTTTGCAAAACGTTTTGTTTGTGGAGAAATGGGGCACCTGTCTAGATCTGGTCCAGATAATCCACTTTGTGGCTCTGTGGGACATTTAAAGAAAGATTGCCCTGAAAGTCAGAATTCAGATCAAATGGTCACAGTTGGTCGCTGGGCAAAGGGAATGAGTACAGACTATGAAGAAATTTTGGATGCACCTAAACTGCAAAAACCCAAAACAAAAACACCTAAAGTTGTTACTTGTTGGCAACAACTAGCACCATTATTAGTTGCCACCTCGTCGTTACTTTCTAAAGCAGCCGCACTTCGCAGGTTAGAGTGGGGCTCCCTGAGGGCCAGGACTACACTGTAGATATATCAGGATGATTTGGGTGTGCTCAAAAACAATTCTCCTTATTCTGTCCATCAAATAGTACTTCTACCGCTGTTTGGAGAAAACTGAAGGGAAGGAGAAGATGATTAAATGGATTCTCTAAAAGAACATATTTTAAGAGACAGAACTTAGGCGTAACTAAGTGATTGTATACCTGATTGTAACAATCATCTTTTATAAAAGCAAAATTATGCATAAATGTGAAACACCCCTAACCAAAGGGTACAAAGTATCAATTTATTATTATAATAGAAATGTATAAGTTACTAGAAAGTCTGTATTTTTTAAATATGGAATAAAAATGCATTTTCTTAAAAAAAAAAAAAAGAAAAGAAAAGAATGTCCATGACATGAGGCTGTGACAGGCTGAGACAAGCAGCAGAGGGAGAGCTTTGGGACAAGGTGGGCAGCCTCCCGCCCTCTGGCCCCACGTCTCTGGATCTGGGAATTCTCCTGGGTGAGTCTGTCTCAGGTTATCACCCCAAATAGAGACAGAAGCTGTTCCCCTAAGGTCAACAGTCACAGAGGTGAGGGGCCTCCAGGTTCAGCCAGTCGGGCAAGGTGCGCCTCCCCTCTCTCCCTCTCCTGGAGGACCCAGTTTCCTGATCCTCCTGCCCAGCCCCCACTCCCACCCCAGGACTGGGTGTTGGGCAGGGCAGGCATAGGTGAGGACTGGGCTCTCCTCCAGCTCTGCTGTGAGACTGGCCAAATCTTCCCCCGAGAGAAAGCTCAGCTCAGAGAGGACACCAGCTTTCCCAAGCTCACACAGCAAGTTGGCAGAGGACCCAGGACTCAGATCTGGGCTTCCTGAGTCTCAACCCAAGACTTCTTCCTGACCCTTCCTATGCCAAAGCCCAGCACAGAGGGGATACAGGAGGGAGACAGAGCTAGATCTGTGTGAACCCACTGTGACACCTCCAGCACAGAGGCAGAGGGTAAGCGGGGCTGTGCAAGGGAAAGCCCAGAGTCTCAGGGATGAAGGGGATGAAGGGTGCTTTGGGGGCGGGGACTTGCAGGAACAGCGCCACCAGGAGCAAGGGTAGAGGGGGTGAGCTCGCCGGCCCAGGGGCCTCCGACAGCCTCTTCCTTCCCTATATACTTGAAACTGATGAGCACTAGGGGCACGCAGCTCGCGTCAGGGTCTGCCCAGGGAAGGGTGCCCCCCTGGGTGCCCCAGGGAAGGGCAGACCCTGATGTGAGCTGGGTGCCCTTAGTGCTGATCAGCCTTACCTGGCTGCTCTGGTCGAATAAAGGGTTTGGCCTGAGGGGACAAGAACCACCCCACTGGCAACAATGAGCTCACCTGTCCTGGTCTCCCCACCTCCCAATTATCCACATGTCATCAGACATTCCCATTCGAGGGTGCTTCACTCTCAAAACACCCGAAAAGACACCAACCCTCTCTTACCCTCACGCTGGACACAGACTCTCAGCACCTTTCCAGCCTGGGCCACCTCGGTCCAGCTACCCTGAGGGCACAGGGACTTTCTGAAAAATCCCCCAAAGCCACTATGACAGAGTCAGAAGGCAATTATCATGATTCAGAAAGCAAGATGGAGACTCACTGGAAGCCTGAGGGGCCGCCGCTGAGCCTCAGCCCCAGAAATACAAAAAGTCTTTATTTCACAGAAATAAGGGCCATTTCCACAGTTATGGGGAAGGACGTGCGAGAGGATGGGAGGTGCCGAGCTGACTGTCCTCTTCAGAAGGCTCTCCTGAGCTGAGTGGGAGATGCCAGACCCAGCCCAGCCCCAACCTAGAAACGGTCTGAGCTCCAGCCTTGACTGGCTATACTTCAAGGGAGGGTAGGGCTGGCGTGGGGTTGGAGGGAGTTGGCCCGCTATTGCAGATTCCACAAAGAGAAGGAGGGGGCTTAGGTGGTAGCACTGGGCATCCATCCCAGGCGCCTGGAAGTCTTGGGGTTGGGGCCACAGTCAAGGTTACATCGGGGTGCTTCGGACCTTGCCTTCCTCCTCAGGAACATTCTCATAGGCATTCTCATGCTCACTGGACCTGAAAGAAGAAGGCATGGGCCTGGTGGGTCATCGCTCCTCCCATTCTATCCCCCTCCCTACCCCATCCTGCACTTGTGATGGTAATAGCTTCCAGGATAAACACTTGACTCCCAGAAGGGGATTCTCCTGACCACAACTGAGCTTATGTGCCCGAGACTGGAGGTCTCTCAGTGTCCCCTCCCTACACCTATCTCCCTCCCCCTGTGGGCTGCTCCACCACTGGGTCCCTACTGAGCCCATCCCTCACAGAGCCCATCCCCCACTGAGCCCATCCTCCACTGAGCTCCATCCCCAACTAAGCTCCATCCCCCCCACTGAGCTCCATCCCCTACTGAACACATCCCCCACTAAGCTCCATCCCCCAC